CTATACTCTTTCCTTATATCCTCCTCCCTCTTACTGGTACCAACCCCCGCCGCCCCCACCTGGTTTGCCTTCCTGTTCTCCATTTTTAAAAAAGGCATTTTTGTTTAAGATAGCTCGGGGTGTTCCATTGTGACATTTCCACGTATATGTATATTATAACCCAAATTGGTTCATCCCCTCTATTTTTCTCCTTTCTACCTTAGTCCCCTTCTTATGGCCTCTCCCAGTTTTTAAAGGGGTATCATGGCCAGTGGTGGTGCATACCTGTGATCTCAAAACTTGGGAGGCTCCAACAGAAGGATTGCAAGTTCATAGCAAGTTTGGGGCAGCCTGGGGTACATAGGGAGACCTGTCTCAAAAATAACTAAGTAAATTGGGGGTGTGGCTCAAGAATAGCAAGTGTGAGGTCCTGAGTTTAAATCTTAATACCACGAAAAAAAATAAAAACAAGTAACTGTGAATAAAGGGTGTGGTGTAATGTATAGTGAGTTTGCCCTGTGGGTAAGTCATGCTGCCCTTCCCATCACAAGTCACTGCCTCTGCGCCCACAGTGTCTCCCTCAGCAAGTGGAGAACTCTGGCTGGGGGCACACCTTTTCTTCCAAGTGCCATTGGGAACATCCTTGCTGTGCAGTGATGGTCCAAAAGTGGCACTGTGAACAGAGACTGCCCTGTCCCTTTCTTGCTCCTGGCAAGTGCATCAGTGCCCTGCTGTGTGCAGGAGCTGCCTGCCTTGGCTGTCTGTCCAGGGTCAGAGGAGTCTCCCAGGCCCCAGGATCAGGGCTTCCTCCTGCTGCCTGGAAGGCCACAGTGGACTTCTCTGAACTTCCCGCCGCTGCTGTGATGTCATTCTCAATCTCACCTGGTAAAGGACCCTCCCCATACTCCACTCCCTGTCCTTCAGCCAAGCTCCAGCATTCCAACTTCTGTGGCCCTCCATCATGTTTTGTTGGGGGGGGGGCACTGGGTTTGAACTCAGGGCCTCATGCTTGCTAGGCAGGCACTCTAACCACTTGAGCTACTCCTCGCTCATGTTTTGATGACCATGGATTATATCTGCAACCTGTTTTCCCTGAAAATCTAGTTCAGGCGAAGCTTTCATCACCATCTTTGGTTTTTGGGTTTTTTTAAACTAAATTTCTGGACAAGCAGAGATGATGTTGACTTACTGATCATCCCCAGGAAGCTCCTCAGACAGGTGCGAAGAAAGAAGGAACAAGGCCAGGCTCTTATCTCGCTGTCTCTCTGCCTCTGTATCCTTGTTTCTCTTTTTTCTTCCTCCTCCTCCTCCCTGCCACCTCCTTGTCCTCTCCTATCCTCTCTTCTCTCTCTCCTTGGCTATAAGTCTCTGACATTTGAGGGTAGCACCTTCCAGGTCCCTCAGAGGAGCAGGCGTGGGCAGGCCAGGGCTTCCCCAGTGGGGCAGATGGGAGGGAAGGTGCTGGCAGCTCAATGTCTCAGAGAGGCCTGGGCTTGTTCTTGCTGGTAGAAGGTGTCAGCTAGTGATAAATCGGTCAGAACTCCAGAGAGGCTGAGCATGGTCACTACTGAAGTGGGCTAAGATAAGGAGCCAGGGGAGCTGGTAGAATGGTTCAAGTGGTAGAGTGCCTGCCTACTAAGCATGAAGCCCTAGTTCAAACTCCAGTGCCGCCAAAATAATAACAATAATAAGGGGCCAGAGGTCAGGGAGGGCAGCTTGGCCATAGTGGACTCTGTAGGCACTTGCCTGGAGGAGGACAATCTGGGACTGGGGTTGGAGGAGTCATTCCCAACACTGCATCTGTGATTGCCCTTTGGTGAGCCATGTGACTGGGAGCCAGGGTACAGGGCTTGAAGGAGAGTACCAGGTCCTCCTGGTCAGGCCTCCTGAGGGCATGTTGGCCCTCCCAGAGAAAGCTGGAATGTTTCTGCATAACGGTGGCCCAGCTCTGCCCACTCCTGGGTCTGCACTATCTGCTATTGCAAGTCTCCCACCCTAGGGGGCAGGCATGACTCATTCCTGTCCTCCCTGGAACAAGACAAGCTAGAAACCTGCTGACAGGAGTGCTCACAAGACACACAAGCTGACAAAACATGCATGTGATGAGCATGCGTGCTCACAGGACACATACGGCCACAGACACACATGCTCTCAGGACACACAGCCATGCGTGCTCAGACACACATGCTCACAGCACTGGCTTTTGTGTGAGGTTTCTAGTAGTCTACCAAGCATATGAGAATAGCTCCATGGGAAGAACCAGCATTTCCTGAGCAGTCACCATGCAGAGTGTTCCACTAACTCCTCATGGGGTCCCACAAGACCCTCTGAGACACAGGGAGTACCTTCTGGCCGCCCCAAATGCCTGGTCAACATTACTCAGTACACTAGTTCCCTTGGGGGTGCTACCAGGCTCATCCTGCCTTCCACAATGGACCCCTCAGAGCCAGGCTTGTGCCGTGGCCTGCACTGAAGGGCTCAGGTGTGCCCTGGGAATTGGACTGCAGATCCTGACTCTGGGGGGCAGCGTGTCAGATTCTGAACCTCTGCACTTAATCATGGGCAAGCCAAGCCCCACCCACCTCGGAGTACTGAGTTAGCCAGACGGTAGTCAGCCTCCACACCTCAGCTGAGCCCCCTGCCCTGCGGGCCAGCAGTCACTGGTGAGAACACCAAACACCTCAACAGGAATTGGGATTTTGGGCTGCCCCAGTGCAAGGCATCGGGAACTTAGCTATACTCATTGTGGTGCAGGGGCCAGACCATGGACCACCAGGGCAGGCTGTACAGTGGTCTCTGAGTGCTGCCTGGTGTGTTCTACACATACGCACAGGTCAGAGAGTCCACCTCTCTGAGGTTTGCAGAGAATGTTTCTTTTCAGTGCTGATCCCAAAAAATCAAACCAACAGGTTCTCTAAAGCCATAGCTGTCGGTCTGAGAAATAACAATTTCTGTATCCTGGAAGTTCAGGGCATGGCTATCTCCAGTGACTGGTCTCTAAGGAAACCCAGCATCACCCCTCCCCCACCTCTTCCTCATTTTCCATGCCTCTACCATCAGTCAGTGACAACTTGTATTCTCAGCTACTCAGGACCCAAAACCTCAGGGTGATCTCTCCCTCTCTCTCAAGCCATCAGCAAATCCAGGCAGATCCAGGACCTCTGCCTGCACCTGTGCCACATGGCCTAAGCCATCCTCCCCTGCCACCAGGATTTTTGCTGTCACCATCCCTGGCTCCCTACAGATGTGCCTTCTGCCCCACAGCCAGATATCTCAATTCAAATCTCTTCAGGTCTGTTTGGAGGTGGGGCCAGAGCCCTTCTGGAGAGAGCCAGGCTCTCCTGGTTTTTCCCTGCCTGGCCTCTGGCCTTGTGCCACTCCCCAGAAAGGGCAGACCTGCCTACCCAGAATGCTGTGTCTGCCGCACGTAGGCCTGGTCTGCTCTTCTCCAGATCAGCTGCAGGGCCCAGCCCCTCCCTGCTCTCAGGGAGGCTATCCTGGCCCTTCTAAGGAAGCTTTCAGAATGCCCCAGCAGTCCCCATCCCCTCTAGCTCCTCTTCTAATATGTACTGAGTTCTATATCTTTGCTTCTTTCTCTGTGACTCACCTGTTCTCACACTCTGCAGGGCCAGCAGGGTGTTTTGTCAGCACACTGCTGTGTTTGTCTTTCCCAGGAATAGCTGGCATGTCAGGTAAGTTGATTGAACTGTCCCAGGTGACAGGCAACACGTAGAGATCTTGCCAGCCAAATTCTTCCAGAGCTTACGATACTTACTGCCATCAAGGACAGTCAGTGAAATCCTGATTATAAAGTTTTACGTTGTCTAATCAAGAAGTTTTATCCAAGTTCAAATGTTCCCATTCTCTCTTCGCAGCTTGAAAAGGAAGTACGAGAGACAGGTCAGGCTGGAGCAAGACTGGGTTCCTACCACCCTTGATCCCCACTGCCTGGTTTGCCCTGTACCCACTCAATGCTCTCCAAATACTGTGATTCTTGCTTCATGCCCAGGCTCTTCCACTGAGTCTGGCTGCTCCTGGTTTCCAGCTGCTCTACTTTGGGTTCCCCCTCCTCCCAGATATTCCTTGAAACACTTTCCATGGATAATCCAAGGCTATGTGATTTCAGAGGATGGAGAAGGGGTTCCCAGAACTCTTGTCCTGGTTACCCATCTTCAATGGAGCTGGCCTGCGGGCCACCAGTCCTGGTATAGTAGCAAGTGCCTTGGCACAAATGGGAGGGTGGATGGGTGAGTGTTTCACCCAGGACATGGCTGGGCCTGTGCATCCCCATTTCTGCTTTTCCTCAGTACCACTTTCTAGCCTTCAGGTTCAGGCACTCAGATTCCAGGTATAAGAAGGTACAGAAGTGTGTACACAGATGCAACAGATCTTGTCACATCTGTGGTCAGCCTGGCGGCAGTGCTAGATGGATGCTCACAGGACCCTACAGGTGCCTGCTTCAATCCTGAGTCCTCCCGGAACTGCCTGGCAGAGCACCCCACCCCACTGTGCTTGTCCCCTGCTCCCTGACCCCTCCGAGTTCCAGCCCACAGTGTCATCCCCACTCTTAGTGGGATGAGCGAGCTGAGCCCTTCTGGGTGTGCTTGAAGGAGGTACAGTGTGTGAAAGGAGAGCTAGTCTCCCAGAAGCAGTTGATCTCATATGACAGCCCCACCTATCACATCTTACCTTCCTGCATCCCTCTGCATCACTTCTTCTTCCTTTTGCTGTTATCTCCTAAACGAACTTCCCATGCCAGGATCTGACTCCAGTGGGAGCTGCTGTCAGCCCCATGGGTAGGGCGGGGGGCTGTGCACATAGGGCCTTTGGCCCTCCCCTCGTCCCACAGGCTCTCTAGGTTCTGTTTTCTGTGGAAACTACAGTGGTTCTGATGACAGATCTTGCAGCGTGAGATTTGTTAGTTGTTTAACTGTGCCTGCCGAAGGCGTGTGTATTTACAGAAAATTCAGCAAACTGTTGGTAGAAGGAGGTTGCTGGCTAACTGGTGCTTTTGTCCTCAGAGCCTCCCCAGATGAACCCAGTGGTGGAACCACTGTCTTGGATGCTGGTACCTGGCTGTCAGACCCACCAGGAGCTGGGACCTTCCCGACACTGCAGCCCTTTCAGTACCTGGAGGAGGTGCACATCTCCCATGTGGGCCAGCCCATGCTCAACTTCTCGTAAGTTTCCACCCTGCTTCTGGGCTGCCTAGGTCTGAAAACAATTCCAGACTGGCTAAAGATAGACACCAGACAAGAAGGTACAAAAGCAATGATTTCAGAAAGGTACCTTCTTCCCTCCCAGAACCTGCAGCTGAGGCACAGGGCTGGGAAAACGGTACTCTCTGGTTCTTTTTAATTTTTAAGATGTCAGGCATCTGGATTAGGTTTATTAATCCAAAAATAAAGACAAGTGCATGTGCTTCATTCAGTCTCTAATCATGGTCTGTATTCACCCCAGGGTTACTGAAGACAAGAGGATATGGCTTTAATTACATTTTCCCCTCAGCCAGTTGAGGGTTCAAAAAGGCCTCAGTATTTTGGTTCTCGGGTTCTTTGTGCATAATAAAGCAAAAATCCTTTGAGGTCCTTCCATTCTATCTCCACCCCACACTCAATAGGAAGAAATACCAATTTTAAGGGACAGAGAGTGGTGTGGGGACCTAGTGGGGACTTGTGCAAGTGCTTGAAATACCATTGGTTTTGCTGTGGGGTTTCTGTGTGGGGGAGTTGTTTGTTTAGTGGTACTGGGGTTTGAACTTGCTAGGCAGGCAACTCTATCACTTGAGCTGGGCTCCCCAGTCTGTCTGTCTTCGTTCCTTCCTTCTTTCCTTCTTCCCTTTCTTTCTTTTGGTGGCCCTGGGGTTTAAACTCAGGGCCTCATGCTTGCTAGTTAGGTGCTTTTACCACTTGAGGCACTCCGCCAGCCCCAGTCCTTTATTTTTAATTACAAAATTAATACATTCAAAGGTTTTTTTTTTTTTTCAGTACTGGGACTTGAACTCAGGGCCTACACCTTGAGCCACTCCACCAGCCCTTTTTTTTTTTTTTCTTTTGTGATGGGTATTTTCGAGATAGGGTCTCGCAAACTATTTGCCTGGGCTGGCTTCGAACTATGATCCTCCTGATATCTGCCTCCTAAGTTACTAGGATTACAGGCGTGAGCCACCAGTGCCCAGTTTATTTTAAAAGTTTGAAGTAAAAAAGCAAAAAATTAGTTCTAAAACCTAAGTAGTGTACTGGACTGTAACATAAAATGTATTCCATTTTCTGGGTCATACTGAAGATGGCGCAAGTATAGCCAACAACCCTAATCAGCAATTCATCTAGAAGAGTCATAGAGATAGAGCTGGAGGCCTCACTCAAGTAGTAGAGCACCTGCCTAGCTACCATGAAGCCCAGAGATCAACCTCCCAGTACTGCTAAAAAAAAAAAGTCACGAGATAGATCCCATACACAACCAGTCATTTTTCAAGTTGTGCTCTCAGGTCAGGGTGGGCTCCTCATCTTTACCATTCTGAATTGACGATAAGGACAAAGGTTAATTAGGAATTACACCCTAATTCAATGCCTGTTCCAGTTCTACCACATGAATTGATGGACTCTTTTGCCAAAATGTAGCTCCACAGAGGAGAGTGGTTTTACTGTAATTGTGGTGTTTATGTATGAGGGTTGAAAGCTGAAGGGGCCTCTGAGAAAGAGTGTATCACCAGATCATTAAGAACAAGTTTCTGGGATTGGGGGTGTCACTCGGTGGTACATGCTCAAGGCCCTTTATTCTGTCCCCAACACTGCAAAAATAAAATAAAGCAAGTTCCTGTCTTCAGGAGTTGGTCAGCCAGGAAAATGAACAAGGAAGTGGAAGGAAGGGGTGGAGGCATGGTGGCAGCCTGGAGAAGCCATCCCTGGGTAAAGTTAGACAATCCTGCTCCCCCCACAGCCACGGGGTCACCATCTTTCCAAGGGTGCTTTCACGTGCAGCGGGCCAGGTGCTCTCTGGTGAGGTCAGGTGCCTGCTTCACGTCTCTCACTTCCATCTAGGTTCAACTCCTTCCACCCGGATACACACAAACCGATGCACAGAGAATGTGGCTTCATCCGCCTCAAGCCTGACACCAACAAGGTGGCTTTTGTCAGTGCACAGAACACAGGTATTGCCTTCTCCTAGCGGGAACCGTGCGAGGGCTGGCAGGGCATGCTAGCCAGTGGGGTGCAGGTCATCTTAGTTGACTTTCAGGTGTATCCCTCCTCATGGGTGTCTGTTGTGAGGACAGTGGAGATGTGATTCCCTGCAGTCTGTGAGCTGTGTCTTGCCCTCCTCCTCCTGCATCCTCAGACCTTCAGTACCTGTGACCCACCATCTGCCTGTGTACCGCAGCAGGTACTGCCCAAGAGACAGGGCTTGGGAGAGTAGGCCAGCTGGCTATAATCTCTCTCTCTCTGAAAGTCAGCTAGGCTCAGTACTTAGAAATTACTCAAAAACAGCCTGTGTGACCTTGGCTTTGCCCACTTGCCCAAATGAATCTTGCTCCTGTTCAGGACATGACCAGCCTAGATTGGAGCTGCCTGGGGCACTCACAGGTATGAAAGGGTACAGAAGTCAGAAGGCTGCCCATCCCCACCCAGTTCTCTTCTCTCAAAGTGTGGACCAGGCTCCACCTGGGGGTTGGGTTGCTCCCAGGGGTGGGGCTGCCTGGCCCACTGAGGGGTGCGGATAGGAAGGCTGGGGGTCCAGGGCAACTCTGCATGGTGACTCACCATAAAACACCTACTCCCATGCTATAGGAGGTTGCAACCAAAAAAGCAAAAACAAAAAGCCAGGCACGGTAGCCTGTGCCTATGCTCCCAGCTACTCAGGAGGCTGAGGCAGGAGATCTCGTGGGCCCACAAATTCCAGATCAGCCTGAGCAACATAATAAGACCCTGTCTCACAATCAAAAACAAAAAGAAAGCAGTTGTGAAAATAGTCTTTTTCCCTCTTGATGTCCAGAAGGGCAAGTATTACATGTACTTGGGTGGTTGCAAGATCCCGGTTCCCCTTGAATCCTTGACTACTGCACAGAAAGCCTGGTGCCGTCAGGGATGTGAGCAACCTGGAGGTGACTAACCACCCTCCCTTGCAGGCATCGTGGAGGTGGAGGAGGGTGAAGTGAACGGGCAGGAGCTGTGCATCGTGTCCCATTCCATTGCCAGGATCTCCTTTGCCAAGGAGCCCCACGTGGAGCAGGTGAGCCAGCCAGCCAGCCCTTCCAGGTGCTCCTGAGGTGGTCGGTGGGGTCACGCCACCTTCCTACACACACAGTTGCTGCCTTACCACTTACCTGCTAGGCCAGTCTGTTATCACTGTCCCCTCCTTTCACCTCCCACACCATCCAGGGTGTGGATGAGCCCTAATTTATACCCTACCTGCTGGTGAGCGGGTAGGTAGTTTTCAGGTCTCTTGTTTTTCTGCTGCGAATATCTCTTTATGTTTGTGTTGTCCAGTGTTGCAGATGTACCCGAATCCATATTACAAATTTCTCCCGGTTAAATTTGTGGGTCAGAGGAGAGGTCTGTTTTGAATGTTGGTAGGTACCAATAAACTGCTTTTCTTAGCAGTCACCTCCCACTAGCATTGTGGGTGACAGTTTTCCAACTCCTTCACCTCAGGCTTTGGTCCTTTGGCTCTGATAAATGAAAAATGGCATTTCATGAGTGCTAATTGGCTGTTGTGTTTCTTGTTCTGTGATGGAAGGGATAGCTGTCCGACGGTGGTCCTTGCAGACTGAGCTGCGGCTCGTCTTAATCAATGCTCAAGGTCTTTGGTTTTCTGTGGATTGTTGTTTTGTTAACTGTGGGAGCTTTTGACAGCTATGTCTGTTAGTGCGTTCTCTCTCTGATCAGGCCCCCGGCCTATGGCTTGGTTTGCATGCCATGTGCCTGGGTGCAGAGGTGTTCTGCAGCTCTCTCAGGGTGTTTCCTTTACACTTTTGAACTCAAGGTACTGCTCAGAAAGGTGTCCCTATCCAAAATAATAAAAATATTCTCCCATTTTTCTGCACTCTTGAGGCTTTCCACTTCTAGACCTTTAATCTGAGATTTGCTTTCTGTGTCATGCAGTGTTAGCATTTCCCAAGTGGGTGACCCTGTGCGGTTCAATGAGGTCACTGTACCCCGGCACTGGAGTGCCGTGGGCACATGAGCATAGGGTTTGTTTCTTTCCTTATGCTTGTTCGCTTTTTCACTAGTAACATGTTCTTTAAATACAGCTTTATATTCCACTCTGATATCTTCAAGAACGTTTCACTTGCTTCAGAATTTTTTTTTTTTCTGTAGCATTTCCTCTCTGCATGAGCTTTCGGATGAGATTCTCAGGGTCCATAAAATTCCCATCGGTGGGCCTGGTGCGCAGCCTGGTAGAGTGCTTGCTTGCTGTGCTTGATCTCCAGCATCGTAGAAATAGTAGTTTCACACCAGGATTGTACTGAATACACCAATTAAATTGGGGAGATACAGCGGAGCAGTACGTACCACAGTGGTAGTGAATTGCACTGATCTCAAGTCTTAGTTATATGATCATCTCATTTCTTTATACTTTTACCATGTAGGTCTTACAAAACCTTTAGAGTTTTTGTTGCTATGTAAGTAGAATTTTTATCAATTTCATTTTCTAAATGATTATTGATAGTTATGAGGAAACTTCTTTTCTTTTTTTGTTGCCCAGGGTGGTCTCAAACCCCTGGATTCAAGTGATCCTTCTGCCTCAGCCTCCCAAGTAACTGGAACTGAAGGCATGTCCTGCCACACCCAACTTCAATTTCTGGTGTCTGCGTTTATGTTGTACTGGGACACTTGTAATTTTCTGTCAGCTAAGATCTTTGGCAGAGAAAAAGTTTGAATTTCACCAAATGCTCTGCATCCTTTTTTGGGGTATTCTGTTTTTCCCACTATTACTGCAGTGAATTATATTAATATCTTCAAAATGTTGAGTCATGTTTGCTTTGGGGAGATAACTCCTACTTGTTTTAGATCCTTTTTTTAGCTGTCATTATCCACTTTGGTGCCATCACCCATAACTGACCTGGGAGCTTTTTTAGCTTTTTCTGCTCTCTGAGGAAGGGCGGACCCCTGGAATTATCCATTACCAATAAACCTTCAGGAAGGGGTCTAGGCTACATGGCTGTGGGAGACAAGGCCCTGAAGGTAACTGTGGGTCTACTGCCTCTGTGACTGCTCATCCTGCCAGGTTTCCTACCTCACTCCATCTGCAAAGTCACATTTTCCAAGGGTCAACTTAGCTGGCTTTTCAGAATTGATGGGGGAATGCTATACAATACTGGTGTTTCTTTATCTGCATTCTATGTCACCTTCATTCCAATGATGCCATGTGTGTGTCTGTGTACTATTTTTTTTCTTGATCATACACGGTGAGGGTTATCTATTCAACCAGGGTTTTATTTGGATTCTACTTATTTTTGCTAGAAAACTAGCTTTGAGTTTTATTAACCGAAAAATGCCTCTTCTGCAAAAAGTGGGGAGGCAGAGACAATGGAGTTGGAAGGTCTGGGGTGTGGAGCTAAGAAGAAGGCTTTGTGCTCTGCAGCCCTAGCACCCACTGTTCCAGGGTCTTCTGGAAAGTGACCTGGCCTGGAGGTTTGGTTTTCCCCCTTGGGCCGACATGGGTGGAACCAAGAGATCAAGGAAACACACAAATGGCATAGGGAACTGGAGGCCTGGAGAGTAGGAAGTGAGGGGCTAGCTTTGGAGAGCATATGTCTGTCCTCCAGGCTTGTGAACAGTAGTAGAAGGGTGTAGCCTGTCCTTACAGTGATTTTGGAATTTCCTGGGACATTGTAGTCAAATACACAGTGTTATGTAGTCAATGTTCCTGACCTTTGAATGAGTGTTAGGAAACGTGTGTCCTCCACTTAGGTTTGGAGTCCCGTGGCTGCACCTTTAAATTCTCACTTCTAATCACATTTTGCAGACCCATGTGGCCCTGTGTTTTCCTCCTTGATCTGTCATTTGAGAGTGATACTGCACTCAGCAAGGCCACCACCTGACTGTCATTTCCTGTTCCTCAGACCTGTCCAGGTCCAGCCCTTTTGACTCAATAACATTGTTTACTGCTCCTTGTTAATGCTGCCTCTAGGCTTTATTGACAGACTTCTATGGACAAGGAGGAATTTGCACCCTCAGCCCGGAGGCCCCCGCTCATCTTTGCAGGTGTCTCCAAGAGCCCACATTGTGGCATGACTTACAAGATGCCTCTGCAGCAGCTGAGGTCATGTGCACAGGGGGACCACAGGGCTCTACATGGCTTCTCCTTTCCCACAAGCTTTTCTGAGTTAATAATTGCCCTTTGGTTTGTTTTTAATGTGTATCTCTAATTCAGCCCACATTCTGCCAGTTCCAAGACTCATCTTACACATTGAGAAATGATACCTGAGTTTCATCGTGAATTTTGCCGGTGGAGTCTCAGAGCCTTTTCCCTCACCTGCTGTAGAGCCAGATGCATGCTGTCTGGCTTGGAGTTGCTGTCCTAGGTCTTCTCTGCACTATGCTGGGTCCCCTCCCCACAGTCCTAGGTCCTCTCCCTGCCATCCAATGCCCTTGTGCAGCCCTGGGCAGCCACTGACCACCTGCTCTTGTGTTTGGTTTCCTTCCGTTTAGCATAGTGTTCTCAGGGTGTATCCAAGTTAGAGCATGCCTTCTTATGGCTGAGTGATGTTCCATTGTTTGACACATTGTGTCTCATTTATCCCACAGAGGGACAGGATGGTGGTTGCTACTTCCACTATTAGCAGTAAGGTTTACCTGCCTGTGAAATACAATCTGGGAGTCTTCTCCAGCTTTGAGGGCAGGAACCAAGATGGGTTGTCTGCCACTTTTCCTGCTACTGCCTGAAGCCTCAGTGTTGGGGACCAGCTGCCTCGATCACCCCACCGTAGTCTCTGCTTTGGGCTCCTCGGGCTTTGTCCTCATTTACCCTCTGCGGAGCTTGAGGGACCCTGCTGCACCGCTGTCTGTGCTGTGAGGACTGCATGCAGCAGCCTGGACAAAACAGGTCCAGGCCCTAGTAAGTTCAGAGCGTTCCCTGTGTTGCACAGTTGCCCCTGAGGCCCCGGGGGCAGAGGAGGGGAGAGTGACACTAGGACGGCTCTCCAGCCTGCACTGCGTGACTGCCAGCAAAGTTGAGTTTTTTCCAGCCTCCCTGCTGACATTTGGATTCATGCCCTTTGCTAGTTACATGTGTGAAGACAGCTTTTTCAGTTTGTGTCTTTTTACTTTGGATTTTCAGGAACAGAACCTAATTTCATATGGTGTAATTTACCTTTCTCTCCCTTTATGGATTCTGTTTTTAGTGTGCTTTGTTGAAAAAAAATATTTTCTTGTGGTGGTATGGAGTTTGAACTCAGGGTCTCCAGCTTGCTTGGCAAGTGCTCTGCCACTTGCCACCACCAGCCCTCTTTTGTTTTGGTTATTTTTTCAGGAAGGTTCTCCCATTTTTGCCCAGGGCCAGGCCCAAACTCTGATTCTCCTACCTGTGACCTCCCACATAAGCTGGGACCACAGGCTCATGCCAACATGGTGGGCTTGTTGATTGAGATGGGTCTCAGTTAACTTTGTCCAAGTTAACTCAGTCCTCCCAATCTCTGCCTCTTGAGTAGTCGTAGGCTACCCCACTCAGCCTGAAACAGTCTTTTCTCTACTACAAGTCAGAAACTGCATATTCTCTCTTTTTCTGGCAGCTTTATGATTTAACCTAAAGCTTTTCCTTTTTAGTGCACACGGCATTCAGTCTTGTCTTGTGATTGGTGGGGTGTACTTTCTTTCCCTGATGATTCTAGCTGGGCTTTCCATTGCTGAAGAGCCGCCCACAGTCCCACTTCTGCCTCCTTTCCATCCTTTATCATGGTCTCTCTATCCTTCCAAGTCATCTCTTTGTCTTTCTCTTGGTTAGTGCCACACTGGGGCCATATTGTCTTACTTACTTTGGCTTAATAGAATTTTTTCTAACTTTTTATGAGTTCTGTTGAGCTGTAATTTACGTGCAATAAACGCACACACCCCAGGTGTGCAGTTTGGTACACCTGGGTGAGACTGAGAACAAGCCCATCACCTCAGGAAGAGCCACTAGACCCACACTGCCCTCTGAGCCACCAGCCCGACTTCAGCGCCTGTCACATCAGATGAATTCTTGTGTTGGAAGACTTGCAAGTGGAGCCAGGTAACACGTACTTGTGT